TGTTTTTATTCTCAGGAAATACACACTCAAGTATCTGGGACACAAGAAACTATTTAGCTGATGTTTATAACTTTCAAATAAATTGTGTGTGTGTGTGTGTGTGTGTTTGTGTGTGTGTGTGTGTGTGTGTGTGAAGAAAGAGAGAGAGAGAATGACAAAGTAAATAGGACAAAACGTCAAAAACTAAAGGATATACAGGAATTCTCTGTTATATACTTGAAATTTTCCTGAAAGCTTAAAATTAATTCTAAAAAAAATGAAGAGGGTAGACTAAATTATGACTAAATTCCTTATGGTTTGAAGAGTGATCACTGCAGCTGCCCTTTGTGAGTTTATTAACACCATGCAAAAGCTACCAAGCCCAGGGGTGGAGGCCAGGTGAAAGAACTCCTCTGGAGGCTCCCTGCCACTTGAGAGTGAGCATGTCTAATTCACTGTTTCCTTCATCACGTGTGTAAGTGGGAAATACAGCTCCGAGATTTACATCTGTAGTGGTGGCTCAAGAGAGTGGCTCTCGTGCCAACAGAGTCTTCCTGGAACTGCAGCCTCCCCCCAACCCATTGCTCTGCTGGCAGCAGCAAAGACACCATGCTGACAGCGGTGCAATCAGATCCATGCTCAGCCCCCTGCTTATTATGCAGGGCCCCATGCCTTGGGCCTTCTGAGGAAAGAAAGCGCTCATCTTATCCTCATTTCCCCTAGGAACGTTAGCTAAGAACCTTGTTGGATGCTTTTAGCTTTGACTTTAAAATCTTTTTTTGAAACTCTCCCTTCTCTGCCAGCCGTTCCAAGTATTTAGATGGTTCCACTGCCCACAAAATTCCCTTTCACCCGTGGGCTTCCCAGGGTACCAGTTTTCTTATACTAATAACAGCTGGATGATTATGAAGTCTAGTGACCAGTGTTGGGGGAAAAGATGACTACAAACATTAAGTACATTAGGAAGTAAAGAAGCTACACATCTGAATATTATTTACAGGTGAAAATGTTTCAATTTTTTTTTTGGCACATCTGAGAAACACAGATCACTATTAACGGTCTTTAAATATTTGAATAAGGGATGGATACAAAGATCTCTTCTATGGCCAGTATGCACTCCTGGATAGTAGGAACTGTGTCTCCTTCACAACATCTAGCTGCAGTGAATTCAAGTAATGAAGCAATGAAGGACATTACCACCCGCACACTTAGGCCATGATGGACATTCAATTGCATGTTGAAAAACCAGCAAAACAGAGTGCTCCTTCCCTTCCAATTGACAAGTCAGTTCTTGTTGTTTATGGAAGACACTGTCAGAAGTCAGAGAAATCATTTACCTGGCCTTAGAAAGGACTTTGTACCCTAATGATTCTCTTGTGGAATTTGTATAAGTCAAAATATACAAGTTATTATTTGAAAACAATAGTTGGGAGTACAATGTGAAAAATACAAACCTGTGATTTAAATGGTTTTGAATAAAAATACAAACAAATTGGATTACCAGGCAATTAAAGCAATTTGACCAAAGCAATTTGAATTTCTACCTAATGCTAATGAAACAATGTTCAGAAAACCAATGTAATTAACTTGTTCTGACATAAGAATTAGCTAAATAGCATGGTCAGACACAGGAGAAAGAAAGGAAACTGGGGGATGCAGTTGCAGAAATACAAAAGGGAAACACAGAGGAAGGCAAATATGCTGTAGGCTGGTGGAAATGAAAGATAAATCTAAGAAAGGGAAAGATGACTATAATGTAAGAGCTCCAGTTCTTTTCCCCATGGCCTCTAGACAAATCTCAAATGTGCACAGTCCCAGTTGGCTTTCTCTCACCCCACATCTCAACACAAATGTACAACAAAAGCAGCTGGGAAGAAGAAAAGAACAACTAGATTGCAAACGGCACCCCACAGCACCTCTAAAATGTCTGAATCTTGAATATTTATTTAGTTACATCTGTGTAGCCTTCCAGTTGCATCTGTGAAGATGGCCAGATGCACAGTACTTGGTCCATGGTAATTTCCCAACAAATTTGGACTAAATAAAATATCCTTGAGAAATGAATTTACAGGGTTACAAGTTTTGGACAGATGGTTGGAACTAGGCTGATAACAAGAAACTAAATTTTCCTTCTTGGCACCACCAAGATGATAGTATAACACGTTCAAATTGATGAGAGGCTAAGTCAGAGTAGTACAATGCAGCAGAATGAAGCTCTCTTTCTGACAGATGAACCTTAGCAAACTAGTGATTCCTCTTTCAAAGACCACTGAAAACTGATCTCCTAACTTCCAATGCCTTAGTGAGGTTTTGCAAAACCTTCTAAACAATTAGAATCAGTCAATATTGGTAACAGAAGTATTTTTACCTCTAGGAAAACCACACAGTCAAGTCTTTAAATATTTCTTTCCTGCAATCTAACTCCCTAAAGATGGCAGTGATCTCTGCTGCCCTCCACAGTGGCCTGGTGAATTCAATGTCAACATCAAGAAAATGTCAAATGCACGTAACTAATTTTTCTTGAAATCCAAATGCTGGCAGGAGAATGAACTGCTTGTTTGAGATATCACAGGAAAGACAGAGGTGAATGTTCTCCATTGCTAAGTTCAAAGACAACCCACAGTGTGTGCTTTAAAAATAATCTGCAATTCTTAGAAACTGTTCCTACCAAGAAAGAGAGTTAAATTTTTCTTTCCTTTGAAAATGGCCAGGGCCTCCAGAATCTAGTTCCAATGAAGAACATGAGGTGCGAAGTGACATGATGTGTTTTCTGGGGCTGGGTTACAGAGTAAGACACAGTGTCTGCCTAGCTTTCTCTCAGGAGGCTCACACTTGAAATGCAGCTGCCATGCTATGAGAAGGCCAAGGCCACATGGAGAGGCCATGTGCAGGTATTCCAGCTGATAGTTTCAGTTCAAGTCTCAGCCCAAAATCAGTATAAAATCTGGTTTTGCATGTATTACTTAACCAAGTAACTGAGGAAGGTTTTAAGAAAATCCCAACTCGAGCCACTATCTGACTGCCCAGCTACCACTTCATTGTAATCACGTTAGAGACCCTAAGTGAAAACCATCTAGCTGGGACCAATCACTTCTGAGAACTATAAGAGATAATAGTAATTGGCAAATGACGTTTTAACAGAGATCTGTAAACCATGGCCTATGGATAAAATCTGGCCTGCAACATGTTTTTGGACAGCTGTGTGGGCTAATTATGGCTCAGTACATTTTAAAGCACTGTAAAGAAAAACAAAACAAAGAAAAATACACAGCAAATACCATATGTGGCTCTCAAAGCCTAAAACATTTATTCTCTGGCCATGAAAGTTTACCCACCACTACCTTAAGCCACCAAGTCTGCATATGGTTTGCTATGCAGCAACAGACAACTGAAGCACTTGGCGCCCTTGGTACATGATAAGAGGCACTGCTGGGCAGGCTTTGGACTTACAGTGCCATGAAAGTCACACTAAAGAGCTAGATCCAACTGTTACCCACAAGTCAATATTTGTCCTATTGATAACTGCTATCAAGGGTTGGGGGAGTGACTTAGTGGTAGAGTGCTTGCCTAGCATACATGAGTCCTTGGGTTCCATCCCCTAGAATAATAATAATAATAATAATAATAATAATAACAATAGCTAGCGTGCAATAATAAAATTTTATAAACATATCTGCTCAGTCAAATAAAAAATGACAGTGATGTGATTTATTAACCATGGAATGTATAAGGTAAATATCTTGGATTTGGCTTTAAATTCCAAATTCTGAGATACTAGTACTTTTAATAACAGGTAGTGTTCATTGGGTCTTTAATATGTACCAGACATTTTTCTAAAACTTTCATAGGTACTACCTCAGGTAAGCCCTATGTCAATGCTTACTTCCAACTAACAGATGAGAAAACAGAGGCACAGAACAATGCTTTAACTAACCTGTCCAAGATATCACACAGGTGGTTAGGATGGAGCCAGGACTTGCAACTAGGCTTGAGTAACATCCATTAACTTGACCACTGCACTAGGCTTCTCTTCTTCAGAAAATGCCTAAACAAGATTCTTCATCATGGTTTAGAAAAAGCAGCTGGCTTCCAAGTGGAAGACAGTTCCCACTGACCTCTCTGGCCACACCTCCTTGGGTACTATCCCAGGCCACTGTCCACCCACCTAGGAATGAGGCCTAGAGCCAGAGTCTCCATCTCTCTCCCCTGGACCCTGGGATCTTCAATTGCAACAGTTCTTCTGTTGAAAGGATCTGAAGCTCCCAGCCCAGCCCTATGCCACTGTTTGTTTCTTCCAAACCAAAGCTTCCCTACATGTTTACTCTATTTTCTGTCAATCAGCACATGGAAAAATATGCTTGCCAATGGAAGAACTGCCATGGGAGATGCGGTATTAGGTCATTCATTACCAACACATAGTTGAATAAGCTTAACAGACTGATCAAGAAGCAATGAATGTCAAAATGTTACCTGTTAGGTATCACTGTTAGGATCAGTGGCCATGGAGAGTGAAATAAGCAGAAGTTCCCCCATCTGTGAAGTGGGAGTGACAGAACCTATCTATAATTAGTTGTGTAGACTAGAACCAAGATTTTTAAAGAACTTAATCCAATGTCTGGCACTCAGGTAATGGCTATAACTGTCATAACACAGAATGTGCATTTCTTCTAGAGACCTGGTGACTAGTTAATGGCTTTGTATTGAGTAACTGGATAGAAAAGCTGTTAAAAGAAAGATCCATATTTATGAAACAAGATGTTGCTCACCCACTGGGCTACACATTTTCCATTGCCCTTTGTAATAAGCCTTTTCCACACCAGAGAATGTTGCTTTAATTAGCTACAAAAATGTACATTATAAAAATGGCTCTCCATATTCTTTTTTTTTCAACTGAACTTGGCACAGATAACTGAAGATCAGTGTAAGGAAAGGGTGGGCAATGCTCTCTGACTGTAACAGTGTGCCAAGGCCACCTCTGCACATCACTAACCAAAGGTGGCCATGGCACCTTGTACACTTACCAGAAGGGAAAAAGAATGAAGCGGGTGATGAAAAACATGGCAGTGAAGATTAAAAACAGGATGTTACAGGTTTTCTTCCATCCAGCATAAGAAAACATCTTAGCAGACTGAAAACAAAGGAAACCACATTTAGATAAAGTGATAGTAGTATAAACTTTAAACATTAATGAATGAAATAAGATATCTGAGATTTACTTCAAAACAATCAGGAGAAGGTGTGGAGTATGGATGGCATCGTGGATTGAATAGACTGACCATATGGTAACTATTAAGGCTGGAGAAGTCCAGCATACTACTCTCTTTATCTTGCCCTGTGTTTGAAATTTTCCATAATATAATAACTTTAAAAGATATGTTAAAATGACTGAAATATGACTCATTTTTCAAAAATACTAGAAGTTTGCATAGTCAGTCTTAGCATGCATTTCATTTGGGCATTTAATATCTCCATTTAACCATGAAAAGCCTGCAATGAAGGAAGGCTGGGATAGGAGTAAAATGTAGGCAGGGCTGGGAATGCTGCAATCACAGTGGATATTTTAAGGCACATGATGGAAGAGGTGTCAGGAGGCAACACTTGGGGCCCCAGCCTGGTTAAAATAAAGTTTTAAGCAGTTGATTGTCTCCTATTTATTTTATGCTAGGCCACACTGCTCATATTATCTATGTTAAATACAAAGAACTACAGAGAAGGAAGTTGAATGTGGTATTGTAAGGTTAATTGATGAAGATGCTCCACTGCATTACCCAGTGCAGCCCAAGCCTGAAGGAGAAAGTTTCTGATAGGAGTTGGAAGGGACAGAGTGAGTTGTGATGGAGAAAGACATCTCTCTATGAAGCATGGCTTAGACTTGGGAAGTTTCAGAACTAGTATCACTGGGAGGCTCAAGACCCTTCTAATACAAAAAAGGCAACATATGTATATTCCAGAAAGGGTTTATGTTGCAATTTCCATGCTTACCATGAGGTGAAGACATGACCAACGTGTGGGGTGGCACAGGGCTCAACAGAATAGCTTCAGCTGCTGACTTAGATGACTAGAACACTTCGTAGGTGGGAGTGGGTATAGGAGCAAAAGTCAGCATTTGGAGTGACTAGAATGGAGTGGATAGCTATTTGTAAGGTCAGCAGCTAGGCCACATGGGAAGCTAACATGTGCACAGGCATGGGAATCTCTGTAAGCCCATTTGTGGGGGCAAATAGCACTCTTGGGCAAAAAGTGCACATTCTGGACTGTGTAATGGTAAAATACCAGATGGTAGCTCCTCTACTATAATAAGTACCAGTCAGGATACATTAAAGTATTGGGTCCAGGATCCAAACTTGGATATGATATAAACTAGAGGATCAGGAAAATGCATGGAGAAGAAAAAAGGTTATGAGTAAGAACTGTAGATGTTGAGAATGTTTTTACCTGCAAAAACAGAGCTAATAAATGTTCTACCAACTGTCTTGAAGAATATGAAAGATTATTAAGCTCCATCTCAAGGAAGATGTAAACATGGCCAAAAATGGTACCATGTCTGGATTGAATCAGAATTTGACTGACAGGGAAAACACTAAAACAACTCTTCAGGGAAGCTGTGAAGCATGCACCCTTGGGAGAATATAAAAAAATAGGCTGCTGTCATCTTTGAATGTGGTCTCTACCACCAATTACTGATGGGAAAGTACTGGCCTTTTGCACTGAACCTCAAGTTTGATCATGATTTCTGAATCAAGAGTGATTCATGATCATTAAGAAAATGAAGCTGTTACTGTAGTTTATCCATGAGTCCTCTAAGTTTGATGTATCATTTTTCTTCTGATTTTTACCTAAGGACCTCAGAATATATTCCAAGAGTAATGAGCTAAACTTCACAGTACATCCTAAGGGATAGACAGGCTTCTCATATTACAACAGGAGATAGAAAACAAAACAGTAAGTGATTTGCTCAAGTCTCTTAGGGATTACTTATGGCCTTGACAGAGTAAAAGAGAGTAGGTGAGGAAAACCTAACATTTATTCCCAGTTTGAACATATAATTCCCCTTTAATAACACAATGGAACTGTTTTCACATTGGACACACACCAAAGGCAACCAAACAAGAGCATTTAGTATACAATTCTTAAGTCATGGCCAATGTGGTCTTAATTTTTAGTCAGGGTATGGAGATACGATCAGAGAAGGGGGTAATTATAAAAGAGATGGCCGCATTCAGAAAACAACACATGGAAAAGCTGGCATAGTCATTCTTTTCCTAAGCCATTTGTTACCCTGAAGCACATACAATAACCTTGACCTTTAGAATGATATTTACATATCTAATTAGGATTGCAGACAAAGTAGAAACAACATTCTGTATACAAAGAATATTTTAGCAGGGGCCAGTTGCTTTGAAATGACTTCAAATAACTTCTGGTTATTTCTCAAATAAAATTTGGCAAATTACAGTCCACCCCATAGCTAAAGTATGTTGGTCCTTAAGAATGGTTTTTACATTTTTAAAGCGGGCATAAAAATAGAAAAAACAAGAAACAAAGAAAAATATGTGACCGAGATCACAGGTAGCCCACAAAACTAGATTTACTGTCTGGCCTTTTACCAAAAAGTTCGCTGAGCACTGATACAGAGGAACAAGATTCTATTAAATTTAATTTCTTCCATATCAACTTATACTCAATTATTAACCTTTCAAGAAGCAATCCCAGGGCCAGGGATTTAGCTCAGTGGTTCTGCCGTCTGCCTCACAAGCTCAAGGTCCCGAGTTCGATCTCCAGTACCAAAAAGAAGGAGCGATCCCAAACATGAAACTGGTTGGCATCATCATTCTTCTTGGGTTTATTATAAAGAAGTATATTAAAATGAAAAACTAAATGATTCCGGGCAATGTTGCTCTAAATACAGCAGGAGACCTGGCAGTAGAGGAACAACCACTCAATCACAGCCTTGAGGTCAACAGGAACCAATGTGTCACAGAAGCAGGTAGAGAAAACACTCTTAATGTTGCTTCGTTCCTCGTATTTTGTGTGATACAGGACTAGGAAGACTCTAGTCTTATTGCATCAGAGAACTTCCTAAGTCCTCTTTCTTCTTTTTATTTGGTACCAGGGATCGAACTTGGGACCTCACGCTTGTGAGGCAGGCAGCAGAACCACTGAGGTAAATCCCCGGCCCAGTCCTCTTTCTTCTTTAGAAAATGGATGTCATTTTAAAAAATGAGCTTGCAATTCTTAAAGCCAGGAATTAGACTGTAAGAGGATCAGATAGGCAGTGTGAACATCCAATGGGTATTAGGGAATTGGCTTAAGTGAATAGATGGTACCATTCAATTTTGAGAATCCAGAATTCCAGAAACCTAAGTTTTCCTTCTAAAGATTATATAGTTCATTCCTTCTTCAAATATCTCCTTACTTCCTGGGCCAGCATTAGCATGCACCTTCATTAAGTGGAGACTCCCACAAATTGACCTGCTGCTAACACTATGAAGAGTGGAAAATACAGAAAAAGAGGTTTTATTTCTCTCATTTTGAAGGAGCTGGGAACCCTGAGACATTCTCAAACTCTGGGTGTTTCCAGGACACAGAGCCCTGCTAAATCACTCACGGACAGTTTGTTCTCTGAGAGGTACAGAAACTGAAGATGTCGTATTATTATTTTTTAATGATAAACATTTACCTCCAGCCAAATGTCAGCTGCATCGTGCACAATCATCACAAGGCTCCCACCACGAATATAATTAGCACACCAAGAAAAGCTCATCAAACTAAGAGCAGCCAGGTGGTGAACAATATTAGCTACAAAATCCTATATAACAAGAGAAAAATGGAAGCCATTAAGCAAATGTAGTTATTTTCCAATCCTGGAGGAGCTCATAATAATAATAATAATAATACCAATAACTTATAACTGCATGTTTTGAAATTTATAAAACTCTTTCACTTTAATTTTAAACACAACCCTAGTGAGGAAGCTAAGATGAGTATTATCCTCACTGATTAAGTCATTTAACTTTGAGACTGCACCGATCAGTTGTAATCTAACTCCTAGCATCTGTTGCTCTTTCCACTGACACACTGAACATATGTACACACATACACATATACATAACAAATATACATACAAGCACATTCTTGTGCATATTTACATGTACAATTCCTTCAATTCCTTTATTCCTTGCTTAGCTCTAAAAAGAAAAAAATGATGTAATGAAACTACATAACCATTAAAGTATGTTACTGCATATGAAAAAGCAAAATAAAGTTTACTAAACATATCAGAAAATGACAGTTAAGGAAAACTTCCATCTTGGAGAACCACAATGTAAGATTCTCTCCAAAGAAGATGGAAAAATAACATATTAGCACACAAACAGGTGCTCAACCTCATTAGTCATCAGGAAAATGCAAAATTACACTGAGATACCATTTCACATTCATTAGAAGAGCTATAAGAAAAATGATGAATAATAACAAGTGGTGGCAAGGATATGGAGAAACTGGAACCCTTGTACACTGCCAGTAGGAGTATAAAACAGTGCAGCTATTTTGTTAAACAGTCTGGTAGTTTCTCAAAAAGTTAGGCATAGAGTTATCATATGGCCCAGCAATTCCACATCTAGATGTAATGAAAACATAAATTCGCATAATGAATATATGTGAATATATTCACAGTATTACAGTATATGAATATTCACACTATTACTTCTAATAGCCAAATGGAATAAAGAACCCAAACATCTATCAACTGTTAAAAGGATAAACAAAATAAGGTTTAGTCACACAATGGACTGTTATTCAGCAATAAAAACAAAGTAATGACATACAACACACATCGATGAACCTACTAGGTAGCATAGTAAAAATACTATGCTACATGAAAGGAGCCAGTCACAAAGGACCACATGCTGTATGTTTCAATTTATATGAATCAATATCTAGACAAGGCAAATGTATTGAGACAGACAGTAAATTAATGCTTGCCAGAGGCTGGGAGATTGGGAGATATGAGGAGTAACTGCTAAAAGATCCAGGATTTCTTCTAGGAATGATGAAAATGTCCTAAGATTGACTGTAGTGGTGACTGCATAACTCTGTAACTATATTAAAAATGTCTGAATTGTAATTTTCAATGGTTCAACTATATGGTTTGAATATCTCAAAAAATATTTTTCAAAAATTTAAGTTGCAGTTTCCCTGCAGCCAAACTGAAAGAGTAAACATGACACAATAATAGCTCATATTATTGAGCATTTACTGTAAACGAGAAAATGCTTTTATATGGATTAACTGGTTTAATCCTCACAGCAACCTGAGGAGACAGAAACTAGTTTTAGCTCCATTTTATAGGTGAAACCAAGTTTATGGAGTATAACCTACTAGCTAAATATGTCAGTGAATGGTAAAATCAAGGGTTCAAAGCCAGGCAATTAATTGGAGAGGTGAGTTACAGTCATCTCCCAATAGTTTCATCACTCTGAAGATATGTATTTATAAAACATAAAATATGCTTCAATTTTTGAAAAAGAGCTCAATGCATCTACAAACAGTAAAAGGGAAATCCACTACCATGAAATTTATGAAGGATAAATAAAGGATCAAAATAGGATCAATCTAACTAGGAACACTTTCTAAAAAAATTATTTTCCATTCTATCCCTTGAGAAAAAAGATTCAATCAATTAAATTACAATGTGTAGTTATGCTAAAGTTAGTAATAGTTAATCTACAGCTATTATTTAGCTATATGAAAATAGAGATCATTTTTATCAGATCTTTTCATAGTACATTCTTAGATTCTGTAGCTTTTCTTTTAAAATGTCCAGTGGAGTACAGTGAGCCTTTTAGTAATGAGAAACACCCACCACTCAACTCAAATATCATTTAATCAAGCCAATTTCATTTTACCAATCTGACTTTTGCCTTGGGTGTAGCATATGAAGTATAGGCAAAGGTTATTCATCATTTGATCTGTTCTGCTAACATGTATGAGGAAATCTTGTGACCGCATTCATGGTCTAACATGGGTTGTTGGACCAGAAAAGAGGCCTACCAAGCACCTCCTGTAATGCCTGAATTTGTGTCCTGAAAAGGCATACAGTTTCACTGTAAACAAAGCAAAGCTAAAAATGCCTGAAGCCAGGTTTCCTAGAAAGGATATGTGATAAATTAAGGGAAAAAAATGCTTTCAAGGTCTTTAAAAACATCAAAAGTATTTTATACAGTGTTTTTTCAACAATCAAAAAATGTGGCTACAGAATGACCATGACTAACACTTTTCTTATATGCATTAAAAGACATTGAACTCCTAAGCTGAAAGAAACAGACAATCTAAAAGGAGATTTCTTTACTTATTGAACAGGGGTAGAACTTCAAAGTTAAAATTTCTATAATGTTTCTCTACAAATATTAACCAAGGGACCAAAGAACAAGTATAATTTGCACTATTCTACGTACTATCAAAACCAAAAAGATCCATGAACTGCAACTAAATACACATAAAAATACAATTTAAAGACTGAGATAAAACTATTTGAAGAAACTGATACAGAAGCTTGTAAATAAAACTTACCTTCCTCTTGACATCATAGCCAAGGCTAAATGTCAGAGACCAATAAAAACTCATTTCTAACATGTAGTACCAGTATTGAGATGGCAGCAAGGGCTGAGGGAAAAGAAAAGTATTTGTTACTTTAAATGTCTCCTTATAACAACTTACTTTAGTGCACTAAAACTCATCTATTTCTATTCCAAAAAATTCCATAAAATGACAATGATTCATATTTCAACTTCCAAAACGGAACTAGAGATAATATTTCAAGGTGTTTTGTTTCTAAAATGGTAGACGAGTATTTCAAAATCAAGTCAAATGTTTTGTCTGAAAAATTAAAACTGCTATAGGAATTAATTGCCTTATTTTAACTTACTTGGAGTTAAAGTAGAAAAATAATTTTAAAAATATTTACTTAAGAACAACAGAAAATCTATTGTGTTGTATCTGTTTAAGGGCATCACAGAGCAACCCAGGCATCTAGAACCTGTAGTAAAGATCCCAGAGAAAAAAAATGTATTAAAATAAATTCATTATTTCAAGTAATCCCTTTATTCAATAAGTACTACAGACCCTAAACAGAATAAAGCCAAAGAAAACCACAACTATGCATATCACAAATTCTGCATTTGCCAATTTATGAGTGGTACTGACCCCAGAAACTAAGAAACAGCAGAAGCTAAGCAGGTGTTTTAGTTATCTCATAATGCTAGTAAGCAAACTGATGTTTAAGCTAACCAAGGAAAAGGAGTCACAGTAAACACTGTAATCTTTTATTTAAACCTAATGAAGAGAAACACTCCAGGATATGAATAAGTTGGAAATACATTTACCCTCACAACAACTGTGGTCCACAGTGAATCAGCTCAATCATAGGATCCACTCTAACATCTAACAGCAGGGAAAATAAAACCCCTCAGAAGGAAGGTAGTATCATCTTGACCATCTATATTTTTTATATACAATATCAGTCATTCAATCAAAATCTATAAAGCAGATGAAGATGGGAGAAAGAAAGAAAACAGATCTAGAGGTAATCAAGATTTATTATACCCAGACTTTCAAATAATTTAAAAAACAGACTAAAAGATGGAAATTTTTTAGTAGAGAACAGGAATCCATTAAAAAATTAAATGAAAATTTGAGAATTGAAAAATACAGTGAGTGAAATTAAGAACTGAAATTAAGATGTGTTTAACACAAGATTCTGCTGGAGCACTAGTGAGTGACCTGGAAGACATAGTGAAGTGTAAAGTACCTGCAATTTTACCCTTCTTGCAAGCTAACAGGTTTGTCTACCACAAGTTTTGTGGATGACAGTAGAAGATAGGAAACTCCTGGGTAAAGATAAAAGACAACATATGACTCACAGTAATAACATAGCTGGAGTATCTGTATTTTGGCCAGTCCTCCCATTCCCAATTCCCATAGGGCATCAGATGACAACTGCATATGTTGTGTATTGTGTTACATGAGAGGAACCCTGAGCTAGGGAACTGAAATCTGTTATAATGTGCCTGCTTTTTCTCCAGAGGGAGACATTTAAATCATCTGAGACAGTTTGCTATACAAACAACCTTTAAAAGGTAGTCTAGAACAAAAGGCAGTCAGTGTCTCCCTTCATATCTTGTCCATAAATGCAAGAGACTGATAGAGAATTGTTTCCCAACAGACTGAAGCACAGAGAGGCAAAAGGATGGAAAATATTTTTAAAAGCATAAGAGACATCTGATGCCTAGCACACACTGTAACTAGAATTGTACACGAGTGTAAAGAGGAAGGAACAGAGGCAATGGCAATAACTAAAAATTTTCCAAAACTGACTAAAGATATCAAGCCACAAATTCCAGAGGTACCATGGATTCTGAGCAGGATAAATTAAAAGAAAACTAAATCTGTGTATTTCATAATTAAACTGCTGAAAAATAAGCTAAAACATGGACATAAATTAGGAAAAAAGACATTATGTTCAAAGAAGCAAAAATAAAAGTGACAGCTGAATTCTTAAAGAAATTGATGGGATTTAGAAGACAATGGAATAGCATCTTTAAAGTGCTGAAGAAAATAATTACTAATCTAGAATTCTACACCCAGCAAAAAACATCCTTTAAAAAGTAAAGGCAAGAGATTGGGAGATGATAGCTAGTAAATAGAGTGTTTTTATTTGGGATGACAAAAATTACCTAAATTTGACTGTAGTTGTAGTTATACAACTCTGTAAATGTGCTAAAATCTACTGAATTTTATCTTTTAAGTTTTTAAATTGTCTGGTGTGCAAAGTTTAGTTCAATAAAGATGTTCTATTAATTTTTTTAAAAAATAAAGGCAATTTAATAACATTTGATACCAGTTAGGACTTCTTCAACCAGAAGGGTAATAACCGTGGATTGGAACACAGAAACACAGGAAGGAATGAATAGCAGGGAAAGAGTAATTTGACTGAATTATAAAGCAGTAAGAGCTCTGGTGTATAGGGCTTCAATATTTGAAGGAGGAGGTTATATGGTGTATTCTAATGGCCTTTCAGTGACTAAAAAGAGGAAAAAACACTAATTTGTATTATACTCTAATTAGTCAAGGAAGTAATTACATGGTAATTTCTAGGATAACTAATAAATAAAGTCTTGCATTAATGAAAAGTCACTATAAGGAAAAATGGAATAGTGATTTTTTTTTAAAAAAAGCTTTGTCCCATAGAAAAGCTAGAGGAAAATACAAAGGAAATTCATCAGGGGGTACAAATAAAAAATCAGTGATAAATGATAGATTTAAACCCAAATATGTATTTCATTAACCGTGCACAAGTTAAAGGACTGAGACAAGCGATGAGTTAATCAGAATTAGACAGTCCAGGAAGAGAAAGAGCCAGAAGATGGCATGGTAGTTGACAAAGAGCAGGAAGGGGGACTAAAACCTAACTGCGGGATAATTTTAGGGCCCTGGATGTTAAAGGGAAGAAGGGGTTGTATCAGAGGGGACTTACCTGTCTGGGATAGCCATTCCAAACCTCCCAGAGGTCAGATGCCCAAGGTTTCTGTAAAAACGAGGACCAACCGAGAAGTAAGTTTGTCAGAGTCAAAGGCTAATTTCAGCAGAAAATATAAAGTCTTCTTCAAACAATAAACTCTTCTTTATTGGGAGCAAAGATACATAGAAAGACTCACTTTTGTATATTCCTGTTGCTTCTATTGAACATATTTCTCCTTTTATAGGTATTTATTCATGATCCTATGTAACACCCCTGTGAAATTCACTATAGATCTGGGATCAGTAAATAGGACTGTTTCATTGAGAAAATTATTTTGAACAGCATATCTACTAACAAAATTGTTTTTCAACCAATTCAATTATTGCATTTTTAAAGGTGAACATATCTTAAAATAGCCATAGCAATAAAATATTTGAAAAAATTTTGAATCCTGAGAGAAATCTCTAAAACTGATTATCTATCAAGAATATATCCTAAAGGAATTTACAAGCAAGAATTTTAAAAATTAAAGACTAATTCCAAAGATATCAAAAAGACAACTTACATCATAAAGAAATGCAGTTCCAACAACAGTAAGCATCAAGTAAAATGCAAATCGCCAGCTGCCAAAAGAAAGAAAATTCTTTACTCCTTTGTAAAGGTTATTGACATCTGAGGAGAGAAAGATTTGGCATGACAAAGTTTGGAGGAACACACTCTGGAGTGAGGCAAATCTAAGTTTACATAATGGCTTTGGCATTTATTAGATGCCCATACACTTAGGTAAGTCATTTAACTCCCTAATCTGTAGAATGGGAATAACAAAATTTTTCTCCACACATAAAAGTAATTTAAGATAGTTTGCAAAACCATTGGTCATAGTTCTAACATGAAGTAAAAACAAATTGTGCTATTACTACTACCATTACTACTATTACTACTACTACTACTACCGAACCAGTTCTAGACATATCATAAATCATGACTTGATATCAGAATTATCATCAATATAATAAAAAGAAATCTGAAAAATCCAACAACTTATTTTATTCTCCTTAAATTCACACCTGGAAGATTTCTGTGTGGTCAGACTTTACTGTTTTTTCCTAAAAGCAGAATTTGCATAAAAAGATTCTTCTCATTTATGGGGAAGACCTATAGATGAAGAGACTTAACAGACATATCAAACAATTGCAACATATGGATCTTACTTGATGTTGATTAAATAAACAAAATGGAAAGAAAATTATAAGATAATCAAGGAATTTTGAACACTGATTATTTGTTTTGATCAAATAAAAATTATTTTAGACATGGCAGTAATATTGCAAATATGTTTTTAGAAAGAGTCTTTATCTTTTATAGACACATACCATATACTTAGAAATGAAATAGAACCATACAATGTCTAATATTTGCTTGAAAAATAATCTGTGGTGGGAAAGAGAAGTGGGTGGGACTGCAGATGACACAGGATTAGCCTTGAGTCAATCATCGCTAAAGTTGGTGAGAGGTCAATACATAGTTCATTACATGGTCTTCTTACATTTGTCTATGTTTGCAACTTTCCAAAATAAAGTTATTTTTAAAATCATGGCTATTTTAACTAATGATTGCTGAAGCAAAAATAGTAATGTGGAAATAATATTTGTTTCTTTCATTTGTGTAATGCCCTAAAGTAGTGGTGGGGAACCTATGGCAAGCATGTTGTTTTTCTTTTAAGACAAAAGATGTTAATGTATAACTTGTTTTATTTTTCTAAACCAAAACCTTAGTATTCAGGTTTAATTGCAGTGTTGGCACTTCAGGATAAGTAAGTGTGTTTTGGGTTGCAGTTTAGACACTCATCTCTAAAAGGTTTGCTATCAGTGTTTTCCTCAATACACCTACAAGAGAGGCAGGAAATAGGAGCATAGGCATATATCCATTTTACAGATGAAAAATCTGGCTCATAAAGCCTAGGCCACTTTCCCAGCTCCTGTAGCTAAGAAGTAGTAAAGCTGAGACCTAAAGTGCAAGACTTTGAATTCTGCATCCAGTAGTGTTCCCTGAACATCATTACTGCCTCTAAGATAAATCACAATCTTTTTTCATGACTTGTTTTGATTGAAAAGAAAAAAGAAGCATTCAATATTCAACAAGTTGAACCATAAAAATACTCAAGGGGTGTTTTACAAAATAAAAGTTCAGATCTGTCTGCACTTGTCACATTTGTGTTTGCTACAGAAAGCATTTCCTTGGCTCCCTGGGTTATCTTGTCCAGACAAGAAGCATGAACAATAGGAAATAAGGAGGTCACCTAGGTCAGAAATGCAACAAAAGTCTAGGTGGTGTATCTTGTCTGATTTGTTTCTCAAACACTTATTGACATCTTGATTGTGTGCCAAGGATATGTATTATCACATTTTCATCGAGATGTTAACACATTTTAACAAGATTACGAAGTTGATGCTAAAATTATCCTGACTGTTGCCTGAATCTCACAAAGTAGATAAGATAAACACTAAAGAAAACTGGCACATGGAGAGCTCACATAACTCACAAAAGGCTGTAGAGCATAACTGGATGCAGGGGTACAACCCATGTTTCATATTTTTCTACACCAGTCCAACTTAGCATTCATTATGCTACACCAGTGGTTCTCAAAGTATGTTCCAGGGACCCCTGAGGTCAGAAGGTTTTCATAATAGCAGAAAACACTATTTTTCCCTCTCATTCTCTCACAAGCATACAGCAGCAAAATGCAGAGGCCACATGACATGTGACTGTGTCATTGCTCTGAAGAAAGTACACAATGAAAAGTGTGCTTGCAGTGTCTCATGTTTTATAAAAATGTCTCAGATTCCATATCTAATACAGTAACTATCAACAGGTACACATTAAAGCTCTCTGGGATTTTCAAGAGTCTGTAAGAGAACAAAGGCTCCTGAGGCCAAAAAGTCTGAGAACTGCATTTCACTGATAATAACAGGAACGATCACGCACTCTACTTATCGACATTATTTTACTTGCATCAAATGAACCTAAAATAGCAATGAAACAGGACTTCAAAAAAGAAAGAAAAACAACTTTCCCCAACTTAAACAACTCCTCCTTGTATTTCCCCTTCCCTATGGCTGTTGTTCTTCGTTCTATTACAAATACAATTAGTAATTTTGTTCCTATTACGCAAGGTTTCACAACTTCCTGCTCTCATAAGATCCCATTTTTACCCAACCAAGGCCACCAAGAGATGCTAAGTTACAAAACTGTCACAGCTTGACTGATTGCTTTTGTTCTGCTTCTGTCCACAGGTTTCATGCTCTTAAGGCAGACCAATCCACACCCCAGTACATACAAAACTAGAGCCCTTCTTTTGTGCTGGGCTCAGCCTTTGGACGAGTCCACTGAGCCAGTGTGCACCTAAATAAATCCTCCTGTTTCACCTGCTGGACTCTCCAATCTCTTAAATTCTGCAACAGTAAAACTTCCTTTTTTACCCCAGGAAAGGCTGAAATGAACATGAATGTTGGGAGAGGAATTGAAAACATTCAGAAACCGATTCATTAGGCAAATAACATAAGATAGCAGTGCAGGGCAAGCTTGCGAAGGAACTGGGCAGTGTACACTTGGGCCAATGGTGAGAGAAGCTGGTAGGGCCACAGACGGGGTGCACAGTAGATGAGTGGAATGGAGAAATAGTGCACCTGCATCCTGGGGCTAGAAGAACATCCCCACCACCACCTGAATTTGGGCACCACCCCAAACCAATCCTCCTTCCATTCATCTAAGAGCAAAAATAAAATAACAAAGACCCAGAAAATCTCCCAAGCTCCAGGCCAAAGCACATGAGGTGATTTGACCTTCAGTAACCTTTTCCCCCACTCAAACCTTGCAAAGGTTCATATATATGAACTTCGTCTCATGTATGTAATTTAATCAGAGTGAACTCTGGGACAAGCATACGTATTATGTGTTTTCTTCCCATTTACTTCAATAAATTCAGCTACTTTTTCTTCTACCACTGAATGTACACTTTCAATTCTTGCTCGTCATACACAAGAGCCTAAAATCTATTCACTGGATCCATCACTTGGTATCATTTGAGGGCTGGGCTCAGGCCACTCCATCAAAGACAGCCCACCACTTGCCTTGGGAAGTTCTGCCTACACACCCTGGGCACTTAGGCAGTACTTCTTTTTCTTCTTCTTCTTTTTTTTGGATGATGACTTTGTAAAAATTTTAGTTTATTAGTACGTGTGTAGTCCATACTGTTTACATCCCTCATGTGGAGTTGGTACACATACATAACACATCTTAATTCCTTTTATGCCCTCTTCCTTCCCTCCCTCCCTCCCCACCCCACTCCTATCTCTTGGTCCCTTTCCCTTTTTTTCATTTGTGCATTACCTATTTGTAGAACACAATGTTTACGTTCTTTGTGTGGCCTCGGTACAGGTACGTAACACATCCCAACTCCTTTTTCCTTTCATTCTTTATCCCTTCCCTCCCTCTCCCACCCTCCATCTCTTCATCCTCTCCCTCTCTGAGGATGAAATATCTCCCTTGCAAGATGGAAATGCTTATTTTACAAAGAAATGTGGCCATCTAGTATGGAATTTGATTTTCTTTAACTAAAGGACTTGCTATGGGCTGAAATCTTAAATGTTATGAACACAGCATAGGGGTCATCATTAAAGAAAGTAACCAAGAAACAATAAACTGAGTTCAGGAAGTTCAGCAACCGCCATATGAATATTCTGGATATTCTAGATTTCTCCAACAGGATTTTCTGCCTGTTGGAGAGTAATTCTTAAGAGGCTGGTGTTAGGAAATAAGTTTGGTCTCCCAAATGCCTGCGGCTATGTACCCTGAGCTATGATTTCTAAGACATGTCCCACAGATGAACAGAATAAAGCATAGTCCCTATACAATAAAATAGCTTGGCATTTTGCTTAGTCTGTTTATATAGGCCATAATAACTTTACCTGAATTAGAAGAAATTTGTAACATGGCTAAAGAAAAAAAGCAAAGCTTAAATTTTACTTTTGGGCTCTCTTACAGTTTGCTGCATATATGTCATAATTTCCTGTTTTGCTTCAAAAAGCCAACCTCAAATCCTACTTTCTTTTCCTATGGAAACCTGACCATTTTTCAAGGTCCAGCTAATGTCTCATTTCCTCTAAAAAGACTTTCTCTAACTCTGTAGACCTGCTGACCCATCTCCTGTGAAGTCCTGCAGCATATCTAAACATGATCGTGCCCTGCTGATCCAAGGCAACTGGAGTATAATCACAACAGATGTTATAGCTTCATGTGTGATAGACTGGTCTCCCTAGTCAGTGGTCTCAGGCCAGTGACCAGGCCTTGTATACTTATTTCCCCTAAAAGTCAAACTCTAGGCATAGTGATACGTACAGACACTCAACATGAACTTCTGCATTGTCAGACTGATTGGTTAGAATAACTTGAAATTCCCTTCTCTAGTGTGAATGCCAGGGCCAGTGATCAGTGAGTAGACTCACTGACACAGCCTGATCCCCAATGCTACTCCATGTAGGAGATGCTCTGCTTGCTGAGAACAAGGCAGTAGGTGGCAGGGACAGTACGGTGAGCTACAAGAGCATCAGAGTAAGAGCCAGAAGATATGGGTGCAATAGGTCTTCTGACAGCTAAGTGACCGGGAGCAAGTTCCTTAAACTACATGAATATGTGGTTTCTCATTTCTTAAAACTCCCCTGACTATCTCACCCTGTTGGGATGACTAAATGCATATTTATAAACTTTGAGGTACTACAACAGAACAAGAAATTGCCAGAGAACTTCACTGGGATATGATTCAGCTCAGAGACAGAGAATCAGTCCTTGTCTGGGGACTTTAAGATAAGAATCATTTGTTAATAAGAATGAATTAATGTCATCAGGGGAAAAGGAGGATGTAATGTGAGATCAGCCCCACTTTGATGGTTTAGATACCTTTGTGCCAAGATGGCATCAATAGCAACATAGTATTAACCAATCTTTCAAGAGCTAAAAATTAGAGAGATGCTGGTGAGAAAATAAGCAAGACCAAGCATGCTGAGCCATTGCAGGAAGGTAGTGGAAGGAAGCCTGTGATGAGAAACGAGTGTGTTTTGAGACAACCTGAAGAACTGGTCTTTCCCTCTAGACCTCGGCCAGCCTCAACATCACAGTTGGATTACAGTCCTTAGGAAGGTACAGGGAAACCAAAAGTTGTCATGAGAGTTTAACCACATGATCTGATTATTGGAGTCTCACTTTGGACAGCCATTCATTCCACCATCAAAACAAAAGGACCTGGTGGAGCTCACTAGGGGATGTGCAGGTCCTAAGAAACAGGCCAAAAGCAGGATCACACTGCACGGAGAGTGTGGCATCAGACACAGGCAATTAATACCCATTCATCTGAAGAAAAATAAAGTAAGGGCAATGACCTCACCCACCTGTTCTGTGCAGAGGTCAGTTTCTACCAGCAATGGAGTGATCCACAATGTTATGATCTTATGTAGGGGAGCGGGGGAAAAGCAGAATTCAAATGAAAACCACATTAAACCCCATGCACACACCCTCTCTGCCTGCAGACTGTATTTGAGGTAGCACCTCTGGTAGAGGGCTGAATGCCCCAGCCCATTCTGACCCCCAGGCTAAGCCAAATGATATCTAAGAGGCACAAGCTGTGCACCCCTCAGGCAGGACCAGGGCTCCTGAGTCAAATCAGACAGAGGGAGATCCTCCAGCTGGCATTCTGAGCTGAGCACTCTAGCATGTGTTCTCAGACAACCTCTGCCTTTACAATCAAAATGGCTGGAGACAGGTGATGAAGAGAAACAGCTGAACTAAAGTGGTGAAAAGACAAACATCAGTTAAGACATGCTTATGACTTTTCTGGTCTTCAGGCTAAGTACATAATGTCTCGTGTTCACCATAAGAGAATTCATAGCTGGCCTGTTTCATAGAGAAGAGAATGGAAGCACAGAATGCTAAGGAACAGACCTATAGGAAATGATAAACTGGCTTTGAACCCTTCCAGCACCCCAATGTCAGTTTTCCCTCAGAGATGGCCCCCCTGGTCCAGATGAAACTGTAGCACTATAAAAAGCTTTGGCAGTCCTTCTTACCAAACTTCTTGGAATTTCTTCAACCTGCAAGGCCTCTCTTGGTTCCGTCGCCTCCGAAACCATCTTTCAACTTGGCGCTCTGTTAAGTTACATTTCTTTGCCAGTCCATAAATATCAGTCTGAAAAAAGATTAAACAAATGGATAAGTGATAAAGAGGCGAGTTAGATGGGCCAGCAGTCAAGAGACAGTGAGACAGAGTTATAACAGTTTGTGCACTGGGGATGAGAAAGATTCTCCCCTGAGACCTCAAGCCAGAGAATTTATTTCCTTTGCTCATGGAATCATACACATAGACACACACACATACACACACACACACACACACACACACACACAAACACACACACACGAATACCAAAAATGAAGCAAAGGAACAAGCAATAGGGAGAATATTTGCAACCCAGCTCTCTGGATTATTGAGTAATTTGAATTCTCCATGAGTTGATAGCAATCCACATATTCAAATTGCATATGCAAACTTACTCAATCAAGTAAAATTTATTTAAGAGTAGAATAGTTTAAAATGTCAATCAACTCCAACTTGATTTTTCCCATAGAGAAACTGAATTCCCAAGAATGTTACTGACTTGTCCAAGACCTAAACTTAATAGCAAAGTGCTGATAAGAACTTAGGCTGGGGTGCTTTCTGTTACTTTACATGGTTTTAATAGCTCCAGAAGATAATTCAGGAAAATCTCAAACAGGTATTGACTATCCACTTTCACATTAAATCAGAGGTACAGCCTATTTCAAACTAATCTGAAATACTTAAATAATTAAAATAATAATTGCAGAATATGACAAAGATGTTGCTTCTTCTCTAAGAGTTGTGTACTACATTTTCAAGTTAGAAACAATTCAGATGATTAATTAACTCAAAGTTTCAACCTCAGACGTCTACTAGGACCAGACACAAAGGATAAATGGCCAAGCAGATTAGGTCTGCTTCACAGTGGGATGCTGCCACGGGCATGTTTTGTACATTAAACCTGTGGTAACACTCCTGCTTCCATAAAGTAACATGCTCTGCAATTTTTTTTGAAATTACATTGGTATCTGCTTTCATTTTCTAATGTGAGCATAAGAAAAATTTTAATATCCTCTTACTTCTAATATGTAAAATGTAATATTACATAACACTGTCTGACTCTGTGGGAGCTATACAGATGCAGCAAACAGAAACATATGTGTTGTACCAAAGGGCCAGCTGTGACCAATCTCTGTCTGACGCTCCCAGAGAGAAAGTGAAGCCCTAGGATTCTAATGTGAAATCGGGAGGTTTAAAAAATATTGGTAAGTACCCCGAAGTAAAGTTAAACCATTGTGAATGAGCGTGGTAATGGCCAAAGCTTGCATACGGGCCTGATGGCTGGGTACCTCATAGCTTGTGACCAGTCAGATAACTTCTGCTATCTCCTCTCATATGGTTCATGGAGTCATCCAGGGGCAGAGGACAACACAGATAAAGTCATCAGAAGCCACCATGCCGAAGACTGGCAGAAAACTAATTGCAGTTTTGACATCCCTACTAAACCACTTGTTTATTGCTTAATTTGAAGAAATGGAAAGAAAAACAAAAGCAGTACATAGCTCCTATTATTGTTTTCCTGTAAAGTATCCTCTCTAAAATCTGCTCTTTTATAGGTCAAGGGTTCACCTATCGTCCTTTGGTTTGTTTCTTGTGATTTTCAATTATTCATAGATGCCAGCCTCTTTGATGCTCATGTCTCACCTATAAAATAAACTGCCCTAGATGATACATGTGCTCTAAAAATGTTTGAATTCATGGATGACTCAATCTAACCAACTAGACTGCTCATACTGGCCATAAAAATTGGCTTTAGGTCAGTCTTCAAGTGCCACAGTTTCTTTAGCTCCCTTTCAGAACTTACTTGTTTTCCATTGACTTTTATTATGCTCTGGCTGAGGAAAAGGGTTAGAACAGTGATGGCAAACCTTTTAGAGCTTTCAATGATAACAAACATCCGGCTGTGGCACACATCCCATAAATTTGGCACCACTGAGCTAGACAATCACTTCTACCATTACTATATTTGATCAATGGCAGAATAACAGATCTTCTGGCCAGAGCTCTTAGTCTGTTTCATGGCTCCCTTCTAAAGTATCTTGAAGTTGTTACTGATACACATGTAGCAAACACACAGCTATACATACACAGTCACAAGAGAAATGCACAAAATCACAGAACAAAACTCTAATTGAAAGTTAATGTGTGTGGTATTTTGGCCCTCATCAATACCATGCTATGTATGCCCTTTTGCACTAACTACCCCAGAACTAATACAGTATACACTGCAATGTTTTTGTTTTTATTGTTACAACTTACAACAGTGAAAGAGCATTCTTGAATTCCTATACTCAATTTTTTGAATAAAGATCTTTTTTACATATATTATTAATCCACTGTTCTAGATTTGTAATATGTTTGTAATGGTAATACTCATTTCTTGAATATCTCAAAACTTTTTTTTTAGTCCACCCAGGAACTTTTCTTATTATCTCAGCTGTAAACTAAGATAAATACTATGAGTATAACACTGGCCAAATTAATGTGTGTAGATATTGTGAGACTGGTTTGTTCCTACATTTGAAATGGCTATTAAGTCATGAACTTTACCTACCTATATTCTAGTTTCCTAAGTTGCGGAACTTTTAAGCAAGTTACATTTTACTTGTTATCTTGATTTACTACACAAATATTGCCTCAATTTTGGAATCTCAGAGCAATAAATTAGGAATATGAATTATTTTCCTTTACCTCTTGTTTAATAAGTGAAGCTTTTAACACATTTGGGGTGATGTGTTACATTTTTTCTCATTATAAATTTCCAAATTATGCCCACATTAATTAGGACTATTATCAGTTGAGTTGGAAAAATGACTACAAACATAGCTCTAGGCTTTGAAATGTATTTTTAACTTTCTGTTTACAGATGAAGAAGTCTCTGGGGCACAGGGGAAAGACTCTTCTAGGAATATGTGCCAGGTTCCTGCTTTTGATTTAGCCACTCAGGGCTGCAGGTCAACTTGTTGGCCCTTGCTGGCTGGGCCTTTGTTGCCCCATCGCAACCATGAAGATTACCTGCTCTTTAAATCTCTTTCAATTGCTCTTGGTTTTCCTTTTAACTGTCACTGACCGTTTTCTTTCCATAACAGGGAAATTAACAAGGACTAAATTTTCTAGATTACCCTAAATATTCTGTAAAACCTAACTGAGTTCTAGGTCATACTTACCAAGTACAGCAAGTAAATAACGGGAACAATACTACTCACATTTTATAGACGCTGTCACTAGAGTCAATTATTCCCAAGGAGAAATGGAGGAGGAAAATAAAGACTGACAGAAAGAGCCCAAATTTTTCACAAACATGTATAATTAACTTCCCTTTTGAAGGCTGTAAAATGAGGTTTAGACATTATTATCACTAGTGAAAGTAAAGGTATTTAGATGACTGGCTACAGTCATTTAGAGCACACAGAAACCAAAAATATGTGGACACAGGTTTTCAGACTGCTGACATCCTAGAAGCTGCCGCCTTCTATGCAGAAGCTAGTTAGACAGCTGCTGCTTCTCTGGGCCAGGCCACACTGTTTGCCTCAGGTGGTGTGGTGTGGTGAAACCTCAACACACCTTTGAGTGCAGGAGGCTCACCAGAACAGAGACAATAATCATAGTACTGGCAACCAAATTCCAGTGAAAAATGTTGAGGGCCCTCAAAAAATTTACCTATCCTGAAACAGTGTAAGCATACACTCTTAATCTTTAAAATGACTGGTGATAGAAGAATGTATTCCTCATAGATGGTGTGTTGTTTTTTGGAGTAGTTTTGTTTAATCTGTCATTTTAACTATGGGAGTATAATGAAGTTGGAGTGAACCCTAGTCCTACACAGACACTATTTTTTACAATTATAAATTAAAGCCTTTTTTGTGAGGTGTAAACATGTAGTACACTACAACATTTAACCCATTTGCCCCCAAATATTCACTGGAGGCACTCATGGCTGCAGCATTTACCCAGAGATTACAGTCCTAACCTTACCCCCAAAGTTTGCCATGAAATATATTATTTTAAATATTACTTTCACATTGCTCTAGTCTTTGAAAACAAAAGACATTATCCTATTTGTACCATTTTGGTTTTAGTAGTGGTATTTCCATTTACAAAATACAGTTATTCTTGATCGCTGAACATCACTGGCAGTGAGCTGCACTATGTTTCTAAGTGGGAAATGGGTTAAAAAGGACACTTTTTATCGTAAAGAGAACTTTGACTGTCTTGAATATTTTATAACTGGAAGGTAATCAGGGGCACAGCATATTTCAGAGTATATTGAGTCCTTGAGTAAAGTAAGAGTGCTCCTTATGAAATCAATCCATGAAGAGTTTCATTATGTGTGCGATGTGTTTTGATGGTACCACAATCTTCACAAGTGTCAGATAAGGGCTTCTCTATACTAATGATTACCTTTCTTCATCACTACACTTTGAATATATTACCATTAAAAACTAAACCTACCATTGCATATTCCATTGTGACCTTTCTGTCCAAATCATGGCACTGATAATTTTCAACACTATAGCTGAACATTTATTAATATTTGTTACTTTATATTATGTACTTGCAATTTGATGTTATGCTTGGGATGCTATATATATATATATAACCCATCAACAGAGCAAAGTAATAAATGCAAATGAATCAAATCCTTTTCTGGTCACTGGAAGATATTTCTTGCACAGACAAGGTAAAGCATGGATGACTGAACCACTAGGAAAGGATACTAGTAAATCCACAAGCAAAAACTTTGTACTTACTTGCAATGGTTGCCTTGTGGAATTCTTGAAAAAATTCTCTAAGATGGCATTTGGTATAATTTTTTGAACTGGCTTTTGAATGCCAAGTGCTTTTGCTACTGGAATAGCAATAATCCTACAAAAATACAAAAAGAAAAGTAAGAAAGTACGTTCAAAATCTGAGAATGAATTCACAACGACAACAGAAAACTTGATCTGTGACTTTAGGTGTACAGTAAAAAGTCAGTCATTTGTGTCGATTGTTCTGAATATTCCCCAAAGATCCATAGGTTAAAGGACTAGCTTCCCAGGAGAGTGTTACAGGGAAGTGCTGTGTACTTTTTTTTTTTTGGTACTGGGGATTGAACTCAGTCCTTGCGCTTGCGCAGCAGGCAGCGAAACCACTGAGCTAAATCCCCGGCCCCTGTGCTGTGTACTTTTAAGAGATGGGACCTGGAAGAAGGTCCTTAGGTCACTGAGGATGTGGCCTTTTCCTTCCTGACTCATGAGGTGAGCAGTGCTTCACCATAGGTTCCCGCTATGTTGTACTGCTCTTGCCAGAGGCTCAAAGCAAAGGGCCATTAGATCTTGGACTGGAGGCAAAACTACTCTTTTTCTTTATAAGTTAATTGCCTTGGGTATTTTATTACAGCAATGAGAAGCTGACCAGTGCACATTGTTACTGTAGCTAACTATGGCCAACATTTGTCTCTCAAAAGTTCAAGGAGAACACATTTGCATACCTTACATATAAGCAGTAACTTCAAAAAATACAATAAAACACACAATTCTAAAATTTATTTTATGTTAATTCAAATATATTTACATACAGATCTAGGAATTAGAATAAGAATTCTAAGTTCTACTTAGAATTTCATTTTTAACACTACAAGCTATTAAATTAAAATGTTACTAAAAAAACATTCTTCCAAGCACAGCTACCACTGCATTCCCTAAGTTTTGGTATGGTATTTTCTTTTCCATTCATTGCAAAGCAATTCTTAATTTACTTTATGATTTCTTCTCCAATTGACTCTTTACTTAGAAGCATGTTACAATTTCCACATATTTATTAATTCTTGATTTCTTCTGTCATTTATTTCCAATTTAGTTTCTTTTCCTTTATAAAATTATTTTATTACTATCTTCCATTGCTTTAAAAAGATATTTCTAGCATGCCACTTCAATTCTTTGTCATATTTTTCTTTTTTTCTTTCTTTCTTTTTTTTTTTTGGTACCGGGGATCAAACTCAGGTCCGTGCACTTGCACAGCAGGCAGCGAAACCACTGAGCTAAATCCCTGGCCCATATTTTTCTATTTTTAAAGTTATTTTCTTGGTAGTTAACAAAGGAATCACAACTAACATCTTAATTTATAAACCCTTATTCAGATTAATACCAAATTGCCTTCAATAGGATACAAAAACTCCACCCTTCCCCCTCCTTTGTACTGTTACTGTAATATGAATTATATCTATATATTGTATTCTACTCAGCAGAGACTTATGTTAATTATTTTATACAATTGAATTAATAGAAAGAAGTGTTACAAGCCAAAAACACAGTTATACTATTTTGGAGATTTTTAATACCCATCAATAATGTAATTTAGTATATAAAACCTTTAATAACCTTATTTTTCATTTTAGCCAAACTTTTTCAAGTCAATACTTCTATTTATTATAATTTATAATTGCTACTATTTTACTGATATTGTTGATTTGATGAGACATTTTTCTCATACTTTTATTTAGTTCTAAGGCATGGTTTTCTTCAATTCTTTGAACATATATAAAACTGATGATTTGAAGTCTTTGTTAAATCAAGGCTTTCTCAGGGATGCTGGGCTTTTGTGTATGGGCCACAATTTCTTGTTTCTTTCCAAATCTCAAGACTTTGTGGTAAACTGGACACGTTAAATACTGAAAAGTAGCAATTCTGGATAGCACATTGTCTTCCCTCCTCAGAGTTTGTTGTTGTCTATTGTATGTTGTCCATTTGTTTGTTTATTCATTGCTTAAACTAAATTTTAAAGTCTGTATTCTTTGTCATGTGTGGGCACTGAAGATTCTGTGAGGCTGGTTTAGTAGTCAACCAATGATTAGATAGAGATTTCTGTGAATGCCTAGAACAGTGGTGGCAAAGCTATGGCAACCTATGTTATTTGTTTTCTTTTAAGACAAAAGATGTTAATGTATGAGTTGTTTTTTCTAACCTAAAACCTCAGTAGTCAGGTTTAATTGAAGTGCTGGCACTCTATAATAAATAAGTGGGTTTTGGATTGTAGTCTGGATACTTGTTTTCAAAAAATTTGCCATCATTGGCCTAGAAACAATAAGTCTCTCAGTCTTTGCTTAAAGGCTCTGTGCACATGTTAGGGCATGTGTTCAGCCTCAGCCAGGACATGTAACTCTGCCTTAGCCTTCACTTCTGATCTATATACAACATCAAGGTCATCAAGGAGTTGAGAGCTTAGGGCTTTCCCAAGCCTTTTCTGAGCATCCACACAGCCCTAGCCATGCTTAAATCTTTACAAATAAAAGTGCTCTCCTAGATTTCCAAGTATATGCCAGAGTTTTTTATAGCCTCTCTTTGGACAACCTCATTTCCCAGCTTTTCATTTTAAGCTTTTTGGTAAGTTTATGATTTGAACCAATTTTTATCCATTATCTCCAGGAGTTGTGAAGCTATTCAATTGCCTCTAATTTTTACCCCCTGGGAAAAGGCTTTATTACCAAGTGAACTCTGACTCAGCTCTAATAAAGACAGCCTTGTTAGTAGTTGTTCCGGGGAGCTACCAGACAAAGACGATTCTCTAGTGACAGTGCTCTGTAAGAGCACCAGCTTTGCTCTGTTCCCTTCAATGTCTGTCAGGCTGACAGTTTCCACTGCACTTGTGGATTGTTGGTTTTTCAAGGCTATGACAGAGGTGGAGAAGAAAGACAGTAATAGAGAAGCTTAAATGCTACAAAGCTTGCTGGTCTTTCCGAGCAGCTGTTTTTTAACTAACACTCCCCAGACTGCTGCAAGCCTGAAGCTAATTCTGAATTATGAAAAAGTTACTTCTGACAATTTTTGATGGTCTTTTGGTTACTTTTATGGAGGACTAGTGCACTGTGATTTTAATTTGGATTTTCCTAGTGATTAATGATGTTGGTCAGATTTTCATGTGCTTATTTTCTATTTACATATTTTAAAACCAAGTTATGTATTTCTTGGTTCATTATTGAGTTACAAGTGCTCTTCATATAATCCAAATTTAAGTCCTTCATAAAACACGTTTTACATATATTTTCTCCCAGTGTGTGGCTTGCCTTTTCATTTTACTTAAAATGTCTCTCTTTTTTTTGGTACCGGGGCTTGAACTCAAGTCCTTGCACTTGTGCAGTAGGCGGCGAAACCACTGAGCTAAATCCCCGGCCCTAAAATGTCTCTTTTAAAAGTCAATTATTAAGGAATTTTTGTATATCACATAACTCAAATATATAATTCTATGACTTTGGGTAAATTTACTAGGGAATATAATGATTACAATTAGTCACTCTAAGAACACTGCCATTACCCCCGTGTAATCTCTCCTACACATATTGTTAAACCTTATTTCTCCCCAAACCTGCCTGAGGCAACCTCTAAAGTATTTTGTCTTTATAGTTTTGCCTTTTCTGGATATTTACTATAATTAGAATCACAATACTGCATATGGTCACATGTGTGAAGCTTATTTCACTGAGCATAATGTTTTCAGGTTCATCCATCCGATAGTGTGTATTTGTACTTAGTTCATTCCTTTTTATTGACAAGTAATGCCCCATGGCATGGATACACACTCAGAGTGGCTTTTAAAGAGCAAACATTTTAGCTCATTCTGAAGGGAAACAAAAGCATATGTCCAAGCATATACTTGTACTCAGATGTTCACAGCAGCTTCATCTGTAATAGCCCAAAACTGTAAACAAAACAAATTTCCATCAACTAGTTAAAAGTACAAATAAATTGTGCCATGCTACACCCATATGTTGAAAGACTACTGAGTAATAACAAGGAACCACTGATACAAGCCAAAACTGAAAAAAAATCTCAAAAGCATTATATTAAGTGAACGAAGAATACAATCTATATGAACAGAATCATATAAACTACAAATTATAGTGACAGAGCAGATCAGTGATTGCCAGCACCCAGCAAGTACAGAGGAATTAACCGAACAAGGGGCAAAGGAGATGTTTAGGCTGATGGAAATGTATATCATGATGGTTGCATGACTGTAATGTGTCAAAATGCATAAAATTTTTGATGAATTTTACTGTATGAAATCAGTAAATAAAACTGATTTTAAAAAATTTTGATGTGTTCTTATTGTTTCTTCAGTTCTGACAAAGTCTTTAATTTCTGCCAGGTCCAGTCTGCTCTAATACTTACTAGAGTTCCTGCATTTAATTAAAAGATTTAAATTATAAATGATCATTGAACCCTTTAATTCATTTTTTTATATCTGTGGGAGCTGGATAGAAAATTTCCTAAGATAATGTGCTAAAAGTTATAAGCTAGTTCAACTTTCAGATGGACTAAGTTTCTTTGGAAATAGCCTATGCATTTCAGAGACATAAAAACAAGTTAATTATGCACTAGATGTACACAGAGCAATGTGGCTAGATCATAAAATACACTGCTTTTTTTTTTAATGAAAAAATTTAAGTTTTAGTGCCATACCATTTGTATCAACTAAAAATTCAAGTACATAAAGTGCACATTTTTCTGGGTCACACAAAGGGCCATCAAATGTATTAGGACACAGTAAAGAAGGAATGGAAGTAAGGAAGGGAGCTAAAAGGTAACTAATTTTAAAAACTAATTCATGTAAAAAGCTCTTATACAGACCAATGACACTGTGCTGTGTTTTTGTGTATTGAAGAATATGAATAAATAATTTCTCCTTGGCATAAAAAGTCTAAAAACACATCCACAAACACTAACACATACTTAACATTAACTAGATCCCCAAAAATGTATGTGAAAGTTTTTTGTATAAATATTAAAACGAGTTCATTTATCCAACCTTCCAGCTGAAAATTTTTATTGGGAAGAACACCCATTCTTTTCAGAATAACACAAAATGGATGGTTCCATATGGTAGTA